TATAATTTTTTTTCTACTGAAAGTCGACCCATTTTTTCCACAAATCTGAGCTATAAACTGGATCTCAGATGGTGTCTCTTCAGTGATCTGCTCTGTAAAAATTATTTTTTATAAAAAAAATACAAAGAGCGACAAAGATTCTTTGGCTTTCAGCAGTAAATTGTAAGTATATAGCATTATGTTTATGATCATAAAACACATTTTCTGTTAATATGAGAGGGAACTTTTACAACAAAATTCATGCAGTTACTGAATAATTTGTCTTATGATTTGGGCATGTAAATTCAGATGGAAAAAATCATTCCCACGAGCATAAGAGGTTAAAGAGGAATTCTACTCATTTTTCAAAATTTCTGTGTAATGCAATCATTAAGAATTAACCAGAATTGTTAATGGGGGTTTCATCTGAAATGGTTTATTAACATGTACTGACTCCAATTTCCTTACAATGGTGGTTATCGGAACTGGGATTTGCAATGTCTATAATACAAATACAGTTTAGTTTATGACCAGTGAACATACACATCTTCTGTTTACATATATATATATATATATATATATATATATATATATATATAAATAAGTAATGTTGATAACACTAAAATGATGGTAAATTGGGGAAAAAAGTTTTCTTTGGGTACTATTTTACTTTACAACACCGTACAGATACCACTGAATCAACAGTGTGTTTTAAAAGTATTTTATAGGCAGAAACTTTGCCACAAAAAGTAAAGAAAAACAATGTCTCAGACAGTGTATCCATAACCATTTCATGTGGTGAGTTAGCTTTTAGAGACATTAAACTCCTCAGATGTCTGGTTCCTATCACCACCACTGTGAACATGTCTCACTTGGCAAGTTCTCCTGAATGGAGCATTCCACATCAAACCACTCTGAATGGCTTTGTTTACATCCTCATAATGTATTTTGTTTACATCTTAAGGATGTAATTATGCAGAAATTTAGAAATACTCTTCAAAAAGCTCAGATTTATTTCCAAACAATTCAAAGAAATATATTGTGAAGCATATATAGACAGCTTGGGCGGCACGGTGGCGCAGTGGGTAGCGCTGTCGCCTCACAGCAAGAAGGGCCTGGGTTCGATTCCTAGCCAGGTGACCAGGGTCGTTTCTGTGTGCAGTTTGCATGTTCTCCCCGTGTCTGCGTGGGTTTCCTCCGGGTACTCCGGTTTCCTCCCACAGTCCAAAAACATGCAGTCAGGCTGATTGAACGTGCTAAATTGCCCCTAGGTGTGAGTGTGTGTGTGACTGTGTATGTCTGTCTGTCTGCCCTGCGATAGACTGGCGACCTGTCCAGGGTGTATCCTGCCTTCCGCCCAATGACAGCTGGGATAGGCTCCAGCACCCCACCGCAACCCAGAAGGATAAGCGGTTTCGATGATGGATGGATGGATGGATATAGACAGCTTGTGAAACAAAACAAACAAAAAAAACAACATTAAACTAGTCCCACAGTGCATCTGTAACATAAGATAAACATGAAAAGCAATTTTCACATTCACTAATAACAAGTAGCATTATAATTACTGGATTATTGCAATTCTTATGCTTTAACTTAAATGTTGCTAAATGTTTTGCAGCCACATTATAAACACAGTTCAAACACAAATGTTTCAAAAATCTATTCTTAGACAAGATGCAGCAGTTTAAATGTCTGCTTTCATGACTACTATGATGCCAATCTGGTGCAGTCAAGAGAAATAGCTAAAAATATCCAACAATATGTAGTTTAGGTTTATTGTTTACTATGGTTTATGGTTTCCACTTCAAAGTTTTGGAAAGTATCACTCTCTTTTGTCCAACAAAAGTCTTTTCTTTTTATGGCTTCTTGCAAGTTAAATGCATAATTATCTGCTCGTTTGTTAAAAAATATAGATAATAATGGAATCAATTGCATGAACTGCTTTCTAGGTTGCTTTTTTTTCTTTTTCGAAACTCATTTGTGTACAGAAAACAGACATTTACGCATAAGCATGTACTTCATAGTGCATAACACACTCTGCTACTGCAAGCAATAGGTTTAAATCTCTCAAAGGGGTGGCAAGCCTGACACTGGCATGGGGTTTAAAACTCATTTATGATTTTATGCTGCATTAAGTAATTCTCCCCTGGGTTTTGCAGCAATTGTGTAGTTAAGTGGATTCAGTGTCAAACCATACGAGTACTTTAAACTTAAGTCTTGACTACTTTTATTCTCAAAATGTAATTGATGTAGTAAGATTGCAGCTATCAGGAACACTTCCACCTTAGCAATTTGTTCACCAATGCACCTCCTCTTCCCAACAGAAAATATCATCACGCTGTTGGCCAGATCTTTATTAACGTCTCCATTCTCATCCAGGAACCTTGATGGATTGAAAACATGTGGGTCCTGCCACTTCTGAGGATCGTGGTTGACAGACCACTGGTTGATGAACACCACTGTATGGGTAGAGCCTCGATGGTCACATCTGAGGTGGTGGAGTGGGGGATGGTCATGGGCACGAAGCTGGTGTAGCGCAGGGTCTCGAAGATGAAGGCATCCAGGTAAGCCAGGTTGGCTTTGTCCTCCATTGAGGGCAGTCTGTGATGGGCCAGCACTTTATCAATCTGCTCCTGGAGCTCGGTCTGCATGTCTGGATGTTTGACCAAAAGAAGCAACATCCAGTGTAGAGAAGTAGAGACTGTATCTATGCCTGCACCAATGATATCAGCCACAGTGCTTTCAGCATGTGCCTCTGTCAAACCTGTGTCCTCATCTGCATGACCTACCGCACCAATAAAGGCATCGCTCATGTCCCTTATAACTCTGGGTCGTATGTCCTTCTGTGCTCTTAAACTTTGTCTATCACAAAGCTGAAAAACTCTTAATTCAGGTCTTTGAAGGTTTGGAAAACACTTTGCACTGGATTGGGGAAATACTGAAGCCAAGGAATGACATCCACCAAGCTCCCAGCGCCCACCGTCTCGCTAAATTTATCCACCTTCCCCAGGAAGGTCCTGAACACCAGGTCGTCATGTGCGTATCGTTTCCCAAAGCAGAGAGCGCAAATGATGTTAGCTGCAGCGACTCTCAGCTCGTGCGCAGGATTGAAACACTGCCCCTCAGAGTTTAGTCTCTCAAACATTTGAATCAAATCCAAAGCCTCGCCTACTATGTGGCTCTCAAACGATTGCTTAGTTTGGCTGTTTGCTGAGAAGAACGCTCAAATGGTGATCTGAGCCAGCTTTCGATGCGTCTTCCACTGTCTTCTGTAATTGCTAAATGTCATGCTGAGACCTCCAGAGACTGAATGAAAAGACACAATATTGGGCCTACCTGCAACTTCAGTGCTGTGCTGAAGCAGTGCATTGCGAATGGTTGTATCGCCGTTGAGGACAACTATGTCGCTGCTACCCAGTCGGATCGGGTACACGTTGCCATACTTCTTCACCTAGCATAGCATTGCCCACCAGTGGCCAGGCAAAGGGTCCAGGCAGCTTCTTCTTGAGAGTGACATTTCGGATACACAGACCGACCTCCAAGCACAAGAGGTAAATGAAGGAGCCCATGAGGGCAAGATGGACCTGCCCACTCCATTCTTTTACCTCTGACAGATCCATGAATGCTCCTAGATAAGATCCTGTGAACAAAACTAAGTGAAGAAAGACTTTTTTTGGGTTGTGAAGGGTCTCAAATGACAATACTGTATTATTTTTATGTGTTGAAATTCTACATAACAAATTAGTTCATTTCTGGAAGATGAAGATATTACTTCACATGAAAAACGAAAGAACATGTCCAGCACCTCCACACTTATCTGTTCGCTTTCTCCTGGTGTGTGAGGCAGACAGATCAGAGCTTTTATAAACAGGCAGTTATGTACAGAGAGCAATGTAGATTTCAGCCTTGGCACTGACCTGTTATAGACCTTACCACTGTGGGAGGGATTTGCCATGCAGATTGCTGCTGCCTCTCTCCTCCAATTGTACAAAGTGCGGAATCTAGGATGCCATAAATGTCTGGATCACTTCTTACATCTTGTTTGTGTTAATATGAGGTAGAATGAACAAAAATTTCTTTGCTTTGTTTGGTGCTATTTATAAATTACTTTTGGACACTTACGAATTTGCTTATTTATGAAAAGCCTGAACTTCAATATACAGCAGATTATTTTAATGTCCTTCTTTGTATCAGATACAGTATGTAAGACAATATTAGCTAAAGAAGAGGCATGATTCACTTTAGGACAGTTAATATTTGTTTTTTACATGGATGCGGTTATTAATTTTGTTAAACAGCAGTTGTTTATTAGTCTGATTAGAGATGTTAAAATACTAGGCATTTTTTCATTGTTTTTATGATTATTCCATATATTATCAGATATAATTACATATTTGAGGCAACTGCTGTGTGTGCTCTTTTTTCCACCATGTAATACCCACTTAGTGCTAGAAAAATAATGTCATAAATTGAATGAAGGATGCAGCCTATGAACACTTTGAAGTTTTTAATGATCGGCACGATGAAAAGATACAAGCAATCTTAACTTAAATGTGCCCCATAAATATATAAACAGCACATATTTGCCATGAGATTTTGTGTGCATAATGGCTATGTTATGTAAGTGTAATGATATGATTTTGAGGATTGTGGCTTACCCCAAAGAGCTAAGCAGTAAAGAAGAAACAGAAACTTCACCAATAAAAGTAGTAGTAAGGCTGTGCAAAGAAACAATGGACTGAATGAGGATAGATGGCTGAATATGTGTAATGGCTGGTGTAAGTGTTTATATATGGAGACTCACAGAAGGTATGAAATAACAGCCCATGTATTCACATGATAAGCATGATATTATGAGAAATAAAATGTGATGCTTTCTGACAGAAAGCACAGTCAAACCTTCAAAGGCTACAGACCCGCTTACGCATGTTTAACTCTGGAACCTGGACACTGTAGTGAAACACTATAAGGAACAAGGAATATGACATATGGGTTGAACAGAGGAAAGCAGTTGCATATTTTTAGTGTTTTAAAATTTCACCTTTATTTCAATCACTTTTGAATTAGCTTATTTTTAAAAAGTGAAAACAAAACAAACAATGCATCATATCTATGACTGCTTGCCTGTACATTAAAAAAAATGGTTTTGTTCCTTGGCTTCAACACAGCTTTAGAAATTCCTGAACACATCTTGTATGGCTTGCAGAGCACTTGAAAACATTCAGTGCAAACATTTTAGCATGAAATACATGAAATGCATGGTTTAAAAATATCCCCTAGGAACCTGTTTGACTTAGGTTGCAATGACAGGTGAAATACAAAAGGACTGAAAGTGAGAAAATGCTTTTAGTAAAGTTCAGTAATACTACATTTCCTAGATTCCCAGACCCAGATTAAGCTTAAACCTTGCAATTTTATCACAAAGTCTAGGCTTAACCCACATTTGGGAAACCTTGAGCCACTAAACAAATTCACCTCACGTTCATTTTCCCCCAGTGATACAATGTCCTACTCACTGTATACCGACTACTGTCTAACTACTCTTATTAGATTTTCAATAACTACAGACAATAAGTGATTACTGAAGCTACACTTTCATTCACTTAGGGTACAGTAGATGGTGTTAACTATAAAATAGATGCTAATACTTAAAAATACCTGAAATATATCAGAGTACACATAAACTCATATGGATAAATGCATGAATATACAGTATTCCCTTCATAACGAAGAGGTGCTCCAAGCTCTAAAAGCAGCTCTCCTTCATTATGATCCAACACAATTCACAAACAGACAATATTTTGGTGAATAATCAATAATGCTTATTAAAAAAAAACAAAACTGGAAACCCTGTTCATATTGTTTCGACAGAGGATGAATACACAGTGTGAAATGTTAAACTGTAGTTCAACTATGTTCTCGGTTTCTCTTAAACTACCAGACAGAACACTTGATTTAATATAAATGCAACCAAAGCTTTTTCTCATTAACAAAAAAAATGTGTGAATAGTCATTAAATATTAAATATGTAATTTATAAACAACAGAATTCAGTGCATTATTAATACTCACTGTTACATGTAATACATTTGCAATCATTTCAGTCTTTGCTGGCCTTGAGTGATAACATCAGATGGGTGGCAGGTTAACTTTATTTCATGCTGGTGACACAAGGCCAAGGAGCTTCCCTCTGAGCTTGGCTGTAACCGTGTAGTTGACTGGCTTGAGCGCTAACCCGTATGAGCAGTCCATGGTGAGGGGTTGAGAGGGGTTGCTCTCAAAGGTGCATTGGTGCAGCAGAATAGCCAAGAACAAGAAGACCTCAGTCTTGGCAATCTGGTCACCAATGCATCTCCTCCTACCTGTGGAGAAGATCATGACGCTGTTGGTCAGGTCCTTGTCAAGGGCTCCTTTCTCATCCAGGAACCTTGATGGATTGAAGATGTGCGGGTCCTGCCACTTCTGAGGATCGTGGTTGACAGACCACTGGTTGATGAACACCACCGTGTCCTTGGGGATGTGGAGACCCTCGATGGTCACGTCTGAGGTGGTGGAGTGAGGGATGGTTATGGGCACGAAGCTGGTGTAGCGCATGGTCTCATAGATGAAGGCTTCCAGGTAAGCCAGGTTGGCCTTGTCGTCCATTGAGGGCAGTCTATCACGACCCACCACTTTATCTATCTGCTGCTGGAGCTCAGCCTGCATGTCTGGATTTTTCACCAACAGCAGCAGCATCCACTGCATGATTGTGGATACAGTGTCCTGCCCTGCTCCAATAAGATCTGTCACCGTTCCCTCCACAAAGTCCTCAGTCAGCATGCTGTTCTTTCCATGCTCAATCACGCCGATGATGGCATCGCTCATGTCTCGGGTTACGTCAGGGTTATACGTGTTTCTGTGCTGCACTACCTTGTCTTTCACAAAAGCAAAGAACTCATTATTGAGGTCCTTGAAGTTCTGGTACACGCTGCGCACCGGGTTGGGAAAGGACTGAAGCCATGGCATCACATCCACCAAGCTCCCAGCGCCCACCGTCTCTCCAAACTTATTCACCCTGCCCAGAAGGGTCCTGAACTCCGGGTCATCATGCCCGTACCGCCTTCCGAAGCAAAGAGCGCAAATGACATTAGCAGCGGCGACTGTGAATTCATACGAGGGATTGAAATATCGCCTGTCGGCACTCAGTCTGAGAAAGCTCTGCACTATATCCATGGCTTCGGCAACCACGTGCTGTTCGAATACCTTCTTGGTCTGGCTGTTTGCTGATGAGAAAGCCCGCAGGGTAGACTGAGCCACTCTCCTGTGCACCTTCCACTGCTCACTGTAATTGCTGAAGGTCATACTTCTCCCTCCTGAGACTAACTGAAAGGAGATGAAGTTGGGTCTCCCTGCAAACTCTTTGCTGTGCTGTATCAGAGCTTGGCGTATGGCCGCGTCTCCATTCAACACCACTATGTCATTTTGGCCGAGCCGGATCTGGTAGACATTGCCGTACTTCTTGGCCAGCTTGGAGAAGGTGATGTGGGGCATCTGGCCTAGCTGCATGGCGTTGCCCACCAGTGGCCAGGCGAAGGGCCCAGGCAGCCTCTTCTTGTGGGTGAGATTCCTGATCCACAGGCAGGCCTCCAGGCAGAAGAGGAAGATGAAGGAGACCATGAGAGCAGGTTGAACCTGCCCACTCCATTCTTTTATGATGCTGCTTGTCTTCAAGTCAAACTCTGGCTCTGGCAATGCCATCTCTGCCTCTGACAGCCTACCTTCTCAAAATGAATCAAGACGAGTATCTTCTCAGTGGAGAAAGTTGTGCCAGTTCAGAGAACTTGAGTTTCAGGATCCAACAGATGATTCAGAGTATTAAGGTATCTCCTGCCACTGCAGACCTCAGCTGGAATAAGCCTTCTGCTCAGCTTTTGTAGCCACTAAGCTGAAAGGGGGCTCTACCAACGTCTTTTATATATGTTTGCAGCACAGGGGCTGGGCTCGATCTTACTCTTTTTACTCCTCCCATAGCGGTAGCCCTGGAGAGCCGCTTACATTATCTTCGTGCCCAGAGCCATCAGCGCGCTCTGCGCCAGAGTGGAAGGAGCGCACAGACGGAAAGAGGAGGCGAGATTCCGAGCAGCTCGAGAGCCTCCCCGAGGACAGAAAGCAGCTTCACCTTTTCAGCGGACTAAGATGTTCCTTCATAAGACGTTTTCACGCGCGTGCTTTCTTGGCTTGGACACAGTTTCGTGCGTTCGCGTAAAAGCAGCGTGGAGAGAGGTGGAGAGAGGTTCTCCGCGCAAAAGGCGCGCGGGTTTGTTTTGGCCGTTTTCGTGATGTCACTTGCTTTAACGCTAGAAACGCTGAGGAATGTATAATAAAGATTATCTCGTGTGTTTAAATGCTCTCTGTCCGTGTAAACTGTGCTCACTCGCTGCAAAGTTTAACTTGGAGACTTGGCTCCGGCAGCGTCGCGTGCGTGCTTGTCTCGCTCTTGGTCACCCAGCATTAGGAAAATGTTATTTTAGGTGTGATGCAATCTGACAAAAGCGTGTCATTCCAAAGGAAAACACCGAGAGAGGCTTTCATAATAGACCTTTCGCTTCTTTGGCAGCGCGGGCGGGAGATGTTATGAACTTTAAATAACACGAATAGCTCCACAGTGCCCTGTGGAAACTGATTTTTCGAGGTTGCTGTTACAGATTCCCCTGTTTGCGCGCGCTGCAGACTCTGGCATGAGCTCCGTATTTCCGCACTGAGCGCTGATTTACTGTGTTCAACGCATAAAAAGGGAATCGGCGTCCAAAATATAATCGATTTCAGCCAAACGCTCAGCCATCTGAAGGTATGAGTGACTAAGAAAATACAAGGCTGTAAAGTTTCGTTATTGATGTCACTTGGCCAGAATGGGTGATTTAAAACATTCTCTGTCCACAATAATCCCTCCTGGTGTTTATTAAGCACAGATTGAATTCCTATTAATATCTATCAATGTGAGAAATGACTTCAAGGGAAATTCCACCACTTTTTCAATATTTCTGCATAATTCATACATCATTGAGGTGAACAGTTGTGCAGAGCTGTTCAATGTAGGGAAACTTTTACTGGACTTTTACTCGACTCTCACTGGATGTCTATTCAGTGGTGGTGACAGAAATCAGGGGTCACAATGTATATACTGCAAATATAGCCCTTTTTTTTCACTGACAAAAACAACCAGTGAACCTACTACACGTGTGTTCAGAGTTTTTATACTGTCACTTTCAAACAACAGCAAACAAAAAACAAAAACAAATGTGTCAAAAATGGTGGCGTCCAACATTGGAGAAGGCAAAAACGTTCTTTACCTTGAATGTATGTTAGTGTACAATGTAAAGCAATTTTATTCCAAATCATTTTGTACCATTTCTGCAGCTGCTGTGCTCAAATGATGAAGAAAAATAAAAATAGAAAAAAGAGTTTTTTTTTGACAGCAGCAATGAATATTGATTAATGATTAATGTTCATAATGATACAAAAGAAAAAAAGAAAAAAAGTCTTCTTGGTGATTATTTTGCCTTACAACGCCCTGCATGTACTCTGGATTTTAAGAAATACAATTTCGGCTAAAATCTTCTCTTCAAAGTAAATTTGGAAACAATTCATGTAGTAGCTTTCCACAAATAGTGACAAATTTATTTATTAGATTTATTATTACTATATTTATTATATTTTTATCCTGATCAACACTACATATAAAAACTCAGAAGACATGTAGGTTCACTGGTCATTTTGGATAGTGAATAGTGTGGTTATATTTGCATTGCACACATCATGAGTCATGATTATAATCACCATCACTGTAGAGAAAACATATAAAAGAGTTGGTAATATTATAAACTATATAAAGAGAATCTGTACATTACTCCAGATAGAGCATTTCACATCAAACCACTCTGAATGACTGTTTACATCACAATTATTGAATTATGCAGCAAGTTAAAAAAATGGATGGAAACACACTATATGGTAACATCATCATTATCATCAACCTTCATTCCCTCCCTGCAACACAGTGAGGGGAGATTAGAAAATCGGCATCTCCACTTGATGCACATTTGATGTGAATGTGCTGTAAAGCATCTATCCTAACTGAGACTTTCTTTGCAGACAGCTGTTTAAAGTATCTGCATATTCAGACACTTCTGTGTGATTTCCCCATATAATCTACAGCCTGATCTCACTGCAGGTGAAATTTATTAAAATTTCATATCAAAAAGACTCCAGCCAAAGCATGACTACATTAAGATTCTGCAAAAGACACGAAGGTAATGAGGTGCTGCCTCTGACCCTGTTTTGTCAGTGATGTAACAGGCTGCAGATTTACATAATGTGTTTGTGCACCTCAAGTGCCCTGCATAGCAACAAGTGTCTCTGCTCTTTTATATTTTGCTAAAACTAGCGTTGATAAGGATGAGGCAATCAGGCTTGAGATAATAAAGAAGCACAGATGCAAAGTTTTACCAAGAACTCATCATTATATCGCTGCTATTGGAACAAAACCTCGTATCTCCATTTTTGTTGTTATTCAGTTTTTGACATAATTTGACAAAATACATGTTGCCTTTTACACTGTATGTAAAGTTCATGATGAATGGACCAAAAGAAATGGCCCAAAATGACTTAGAAAAAAATCTGGTTCCATTGACTTACATTAAAATTAACGTAGGTTTTTTCCTTCTCCTGAAAAGCTATCATTTTGGAGATACAAGGCTTTGTTCCAACAACAGTGATATATATATATATATATTTTAGACGGTAGGCTTTCCAGCCTAAAACTAGCATTAAATTTGTTATTTGATTTATATAATATTCTGTACTGCAGCACTGAATCCCTCAGCCTCGCCAGTTTGATGGAATGGACCCTTTTCTGATATCACAAAGAGTCATGCTTACTTCTGGTTAAGCATTAGCTGGGTAAAACTCCCTTCTGCTTCATACAGATGGTATTTGATTGATGTCACACTTGTCGCCTCCATCATACTGTTTAAATACCACCGGTTGACACAGTGATGACAGTGGTGCTCGTAGAGCCACTGTTTGTACACCATCAGTTAATAAAGCAACCTGACAGATAAAATAACCATGGTGCATGGTTGTAGTAACAACAGCAAAAAAAACGGTATAAACTTTTATAGTGTTCCTGCTGTCCTGTGTCGAGAGGGGAAAGAGGCTGAGGAGCTGAGCCAGTGGAGAAATCTTTGGAAAGCGAGAATCAACAGGAAAAACTTTCAGACGTCTCCCTTAGGTGAGGTGGAGGTTTTGTGAACACTTAGGTGAAGGATGAACTCTGTAGTCTTGCCTTTGATAATTTTAGAGTGTTAGGAATTGTTGACAATTGATAATTATCACTGACTGATGATTGAGTTATGCAATCTAATGTCTAGATCTCCTAAGCTTTGGCCAGACAATGAATGCAGCCAGTGGCAGAATGTTTGCAGGGCTCACATAACTTAAGCTAACGTCATGTTAATGCTGATTAACCTCATCAAACATGGATACGTAGCTGTTACTCACTTGTGTGATCATGATGATGTTTGATGATGCAAAAGACAGAAGCTGCATCTCAGATCATACACTACTATACTATACTATACTGCACTAATGAATGTACTGCTAATGGTGGTGTGCTTTTTTTGACTAAATATTCAGTACTGTAGAATGTGGTTTGAGCCAGAATATCACTGAGCCTTCCACAAATGAAAGCTTTTAGCTATGTGACGTGCAGGCTCATGCAGTACTTGTCTAGTAATGTCAATGTAAGACATTGTCTAGTAATGTCATTGCAGGCACTCGTGCATAATGAGGACTCAAAGAAAACTTGATTTGGTACAGATTTGGTAATGTCACCTCTGATCAAACAGAATTTGTCTTGATATCTGGATTTAAATGTTGTAGCCAGAACTGAATGCTCTTAGGGGGCATAACACTAAAATGGTAATGTGCCCAGGCCACTCCCCCACCTTCTCTAAAAGAAAGAAAAGACAAAAAAAATGTAATGATTTTAATATGTTGGTTGATACACATTTAGGGGTTAAATAGTTAACAATAAGGAAACTGTGCCTTGAATGGTCAATCTTTGCTGGACTTAAACTTGCTCAAAACACTAAATATAACTAGAAGGTAATTAAAATATAAATATATATATATATAATTACTGTCATTTTCACTGAAACTGCTCAACAAATGGTTTACTGGATGGAACACTTATTAGTTACCCGCTTTGGTGAGCTCACCTTGTCTCGTCATCAACTGCATCAGAAAAGGAAGAGGTGCTTGAATGCTTGAATGAATAGTTTACGTTTTACAAGTTAGCTGCTGGGCTGAGGCTAACTTTGGTTATGATCACAGAAACTCTGTCTGTTTAAAAAAGCTTACTTGCTGCATTGAATCAAATCCTGTGCTTCTGTATCAGCCTGCACTTGTTACAAATGACTGTAAATGTAGCTAATCGCCATAAACATGGCTAATCACTAGTTAGCTAGCTAGCTTACCACAACACATTTTCTGTTTGGCACTTTGGCACGTTAGGTTCACCTGTTTTGTGAAAGGGTCAGAAGTTGTTTTCCCATTTATAGCTTTCTCTCGCTCCTTCCATTTCTGAAATTCTGAGTTTGGTTTCATTTTAACCAGGCCAGAATTGGCAGACAGCCATTAACAAAAGACGTGCGTGCCGGAGGATCAAACGACTTTTGCCTTTGAGGCAGGGGTGGGGGGGTTGGGGAGATCAAGGAAACAACAGTAGATAAGCAGAACTCATCATGGAAGATGCAGTTGTATCCTATTTATTTCCTTGAGAGTATCAAACTTAGAAACCAAAATCAGTTTAATTCCTAGGCTTTTGGAGGGCCGCCATCCGGAGATGGCCCTGGTTAGTAAGGTCCATCATTATCCATGGTCTGATGCCCCTGACTACTCAT